ATTTTGTTCTATCTCATTTCACTGTTTAATTTTTTCACATGTGAAAAATCATGTCATTTTTTCGCTGTATTATTAACCATCCTTCTACCAGAATTTTACAATCATTACCTTAGTCCAACCCATGATAACCCTTCCTATTCCAGTTCAACCTCCCCTCCTTTAGAAATACTTTACTGACAGTTGTAAGATAGCAGAAGTCGCTCTCTTCCGTCTGCTGACTCTCGCTAGGCAGACGTACTCTCTCTCTCTTGACTGTTAGCTACCGTTTGGGACAGACGTACCTCTCTTGCCTGTTGTTTATCGATGAGAACGGACGCTCTCTCTCCCCTGTTGACTGTCGTTTGGTGACAGGGTGTTCTCTCTGTTTCTCTCCTGCTTTTAGTTACGCGAAAAATACCGCAAATACTGTTTTAAAACAATAACATAATTGAAAGACTACACACAATACTCAACAAACAATAACATATACCCTACTCCTACATCATCTGTTAACACCCATCCCCTCAAGAAACTTCCTCCTAAGTTGTTAGACAGTTACAACTTTGACCGAAGATCACTTATTATTAGTAATAAAGGAAAGTTTGAACTATGAATCACCAACCACTATATAGTAATTCTTGTACCGGAATGTAAGTAGTATTTTGTTTATTTCTAATGTATCACAATTCAACAGACTTTTTATCTTAACAAGTTGTGGGTTGTTACTCTGTCTGCAAACGCAATTTATGCATATTAATTAACACAGACATGTAATATTGGCATAATTACTAAAACTTTTTTGATCTATAACTTTTTTTATCTATATCCTTATAAGACAGCACCCTAATATGGGCTTTTTATAATTTCAGCATTTAATTTACTTTGTACCACCGACCTGATGATGCTTTGCAAATTTTAGAAAGCGAAACCGGTCGTCTGAGGTAGTAAAATTAAATTGATTGTGAGTAAGTCTAATTATTTCTTTTTTACCTTTTTAAAATGGACTCACATAAGCAATACATTCATGATTTCAAAGTTTGGTAACTTTATCAAGTACAGAATCTGAGTTTGTGGCAGTGTGTGCAGCCTCATGTGAATTACTTTATATAAAAAACTTACTGTTGGATTTGTAAATTAAATTATTATTACCAATCACAATATTTGAAGACAATCAAAGTGCTATCAAACTGCTACAAAACTTTGAAAACAATAAAAGGTGTAAACACATTGAAGTAAAATTACATTTTGTTTTGGATCTGGTAGCACAGGGTATTATGAAGGTTGAATATATTTGTTCAAATGAGCAACTTGGAGATATATTTACAAAGTCTCTGTGCTATGAGAAATTTAATTATTTTGTAAATAAGTTAGGTTTGAGGGTTTAAATTTAGTTTTCTATACTAACAGGTTTGAGGGAGGGTGTTAAATAAATACTCGTGAATAAGGAACAAACCTGTCTATGGTTGACAGCACGATTGATGTATGTCAATGTCAACGTTTTTAAGATGGTATCATAATGTAACCACTTTTAATTATGTATTTATGTATAACGTTTATTTGAGTTAGTATTACAATAAAATATCAACACATTCTTTTATTTTCTATTCTTCAATATAACAGACAGACACGTAAATTATTAATTAATCAGATATGGATTTATATTATGTAAATGCTTTTAGCAGTGATGAGGAAGCTGGCAGACCAAGAATCATTAGGCACAGAACAAATAATTTTGACGAACTAGACTATGAAGATTTTGTCTATATATAAACATGCTATATAATATAAAGGTTGAGTTTACCGAAAGTACAAGATGATTATAGCCGCAAATGTCAAACATGGAACAAAAAATTTCAATATAGCAGTTTGAAGGTTTTTATAATGTAGATACTGTATACTGTCGGTCAGATAGCTCAGCGGGCTGTGCGGCTGCCTCTCATTCGCTTCACTGTCGAATGGTTTAGTGGATGTGGGTCGAGCACCAGCTCGGTGTACAGAAAACAAAAAGTCTAACGCAGCAGTTTAAAATTCTAGATGAATCTGCGGCTTAGACTAGGATATGCTGAGTTCTGATCGGCCTATGGTGGAGCAGTACGGCAAGAGATAAGGACTTGCGGCTCGGTGATACTCCTCCATAGATCCCTACCGGACACGGGCGTAACGTCTAAAAAACCGGATATATATATATATATATATATATATATATATATATATATATATATATATATATATATAGATACTGTATACTTCAGACACAAAAAGCTTTAGAAAAGTACATTTCGTTTATATTATGTTATGAATTCTGCAATTTTTGATTTATATAAAACAACAATGAGTAAATATTTGTTTCTTTGGAGTTAATTATTTGCATTAATTGCAGTTAATTATTAGAAACTTTTTTTGGCAATTACCCTCTGATAGATTAGGGGATCGATTTGGCAATCGTCAAATCAGCAGTTGCCAGATTACAGCAGATTTTTGCAATTAATCTAGAAAGAGACAAATATCTACTCGTTATTACTTTATATAAATTAAAAATTGCATAATTTATAAAATAGTATATTCAAAATGTACTTTTTAAAAGCTTTATCTCTTTATATTTGAAGCATACAACATATGCATTATAAAAACATGCCAACACTGCCAAACCGAAATATTTTTGACATTTGCGGCTATATTCAGCTTGTACTTTCGGTACACTCAATCAATATAAATAATATATTGTTTTTCGATCTAACGTGACAAATGTGCATCGAGCAAAAAGACAAAAGAGGGAATCTAATCCTTATGAAAAGGAGATCAGAAAAGTGGCCTCTGATGGCGGACATATCCGGAAATGCGAATGCGCCAAATTTAAATTTTCCGATACTTATTAACAGTAGCTATAAAATATTGTTCAAAATATGTCAGACGAGAAAGTTTTAATTAAATATTAACGATAATAGTCTAAAATGCAACACAATTGTTAAAAAACTTCAATATAAATAAGATTTCATGTGACAGTTGGGACAAACAATAACATAACCCAACTAAATTTTATTTCTTAAACAAGGAAAGAGACTCTCTTTCGTTGTTTAATGTGGCCTCCCAAGATGGCAGTTCCTGTTTAACAATATTAGAGAGTTATTGCAAAGTTAACAGTGCCTGTGTTGCAGTATTTACACCGCGCTATTTCGACATTTTTGACATATGGCTGACACATCACAAATAGCGATATTGCTTGAACTTATGCATACTTTGTTGCGTTATTTACGTTGTTTATGTTTTCTTTTCATTTGTTCGCAAATTATTGAAAATTGATCATGATTTAGAAGCACTTATTTTAGCAAATGCTCATGATGATGATGTAGGGTTCATCATTTTAAATAACATTGTGGGCGAACATGTATTACATCCACAAAATTAAGAATTTAATTTAGAAAACATGTTGGAAGCAGATGTAAAAATAAATTTTAGATTTAGCAGACAAAATATTCCTACACTTGCAAGGGCTTTACGCCTACTAGATTTTATTCATACCAATACTAGAAACTCTGTTAGTGGTAAATGCATTTGCATTCTACATTACTTTTGAAATTAAGCCCTTATATTTTTGTTTTTAGAAGTGATGAGAATGCTCGCATATCCCAGCAGGCTTAAAGATCTTCAGCTTTTATTCAATTTGTCACCTCAATCATTATCTCAAATTATTAATATTTTTGCATTATGCTACTCTCTGATGTACTCATTTTAGAAAATTATTACAAATAGACTTGGTTTAAATGAAAGACAAACAACATACATAACCTGAGAAAGAAAATAGCGCAACGAATACAGCACAGCGTAACGGCTCCCCTAATACCGGCACGCCGTATTTTCAATAACGCAGTGTAAGCCAAATATCACATCTGCGCATGCTCTACTGTCAAAATAACGCGTGCTGTAATACAGCAAGTGCAAAATTGACTCTGCAATATCTCTCTATTTTTGCCCCCACTTGTCTTTTTGCTCGATGCAAATGTGTCATAACTCATCTATACTGGTCAATATCCATAATATTTACTGACAATATTCCATATAAATCTGATTATTGCCCATAATTTCCTACAACATAAGAAAAATCAAACGAAGCCTATTCTTTACAGAAGGAAATATTAAATATTTAACTCCTTGGGTTTTCTTGGCTGAAATTCCTTCTGGTGTAAGGTCCGTTTTGTTGTTTTTTAAATAAACTAATTTTGGAGTTAAAAATATTTACTTGTCTTGGCAGACAATTGAGGACAATCTTTAATAGGGTTAATGACTACAGGAAACATAAATCTAACAATTTCTTCCTTGACTCAAGTGTTGGTAAATCAATACTGTCTCTTACCCACTGACTGTCATATTCCCCTCTGCGGTATCCACTCATAAAAGCTACTATCCTCAAAAATGTTAACCAATAATTACGTGAATTTAAAAGGGGACAAATAATAGGGATTCGAAAAGCTGGAATCAGCTTTTCTAAATTAATTGGAGAGCAATGGCTACCTGCTACAGCATAATAAATCGATATGAGATCATTTTATTAATTTAATTTTATAAACTGAGCCTCATCTTGTCGTTAACCGAAATACATAAGGAAGCAAGACTACAGTGGTGCCAAGAACGCAAGGTGTGTGATCAGGAATGGAACTGTGTCATATTTAGTGACGAATCTCGATTGTAATCCACTACTTGCGGCTCAAAGATGTCCGAAGACGGGTTCGCTGACGACAGGTTGCCCAGATTGCCAGAATACTTGGACCTCTCTAGACTGCAGAGAAGATATCGATCAACTCATGCAATGCATGCATTGCAGAGTAGAGGAGTGTATTTGAGAGGAGCTCCAACTCATTACTGAATTTTAAGGTTTTATTAATGAATGTTGCATTTTAAATTTCAGGTAGTATATATGAAAAAATTAAGATCCCAGAAAACAGCTCTACACAAAGCCAGAGGGATGATGATTTACAAATATTATATAAAAATGCTTTAATTATTATGGTTATTCTCAAACTTACCTAATTCATTTAAAATTTTGTAATGTTTGATGATGCACAGGGCCTCAATCAATTTATTCTGCCACATATTATGTCCCTTCTGTGAATGATATTCAGCCCATGGAAACAAAACATTTCTGCTGCCACCTTGCATAAACAAAATTACAGTCTGAAGATGAAAATCTATTTCTGTTCTGTCTTCCATCAATAAATATATCAGGGAAATCTGAAATAAACAATTTTCTATACCCGATACACATAAGACCAAAGTTTGGACACCAAACTAAAATATAATATAACAAACTTCCATTTTGGAGAAAATATTATTTATCAGGCACTGTATGTAATAAGTTTTTTACACTATGCTAAAACAATATGATTACAATATTTTATTAAGAGATAAGCAAACATATCCTAACGTACATGAAACATAAAAATTAAAATATTTTCTCACACTTAGTTAAAACAAACTCTTCAAAAATTACAAACCTTCAGTTATAAAGTGAAGAAGCGAATGGAAATTTCACTGCGTAAAAAGCAGGAGTAATGTAATGGCGAGATCAAGACAGAGTAAGGTAATGAATGAAATTAGGAGTACTTAAAGAGAACCCTTTCTATTATGTATTTAGAGAGGGACAGAGGAAACATACAACCCAGGCAGCTGGTACATAGATGGATCTCAAACTGCACAAGGATAAAAATCTGCAGTAGTGGAGTATCATTTACACTGAAGTACTGCAGACAATAAGCAGGAATCGGCTTAGAATGATAACTGGCTTTCTTACCGGACAAGGGCAGTCGAATGACACCTATATATAAAAAACAGAAAACCTGAAAGTCAACCATATCTTGTGAGGTGCTAGATCACAAGAGGCAAACAATACTTGAAACCAACCAAGCTGGTACTAGGTTTTCAAATTGTGGATTGGATTCCATATAAAAAGTATTATGAATGTATAGCCCGGTTACAGATAATTGAGAAATTTAAAGAGATAGACCAATTAGTGTACAAGTGGTACCGAACAAAATATATCCATGTGCTTATAGATCAAATGACATCTGTTTTAATAGTTCCTCTTTAATATTTCGCCTTGTTACAGAATAGTATTAAGAAAAACGCAAAAATAATTACTGTAAAATATGATTTTATTAGGTACAATTATAAATATTTAAATAATTATAACTGTTAGGTCTATTTAATCAAAATAATGTTTTCATCTTTAATCACAATAATGATTTTATTTCACAGTAATATTTAAATATACTGACAATTTAGCTATCAGAAAATTATTAAATAAATAAAAATGTGGCGTCCATGGGAGAATAGTACATTAGAAATTGTTGAGAATAATGAAGTAGACATTGTTGAACAAAATGAGGAAATTCTGCCACTAAATAATCCTGAAAGTGTTGCTGGACCAAATAGAGGAAGTATTAAAAACCCAGAAAAAAAAAACATTTATCGAAAGACGCTAAAGAAATTGTGTTAAATGTGTTTAATGGATTATATGAAGAACTGGAACGGCACGAGAGTGTTAAGAGTGACTTTAGACTACATCGATCTATCGAGCAACATCTTTTAGGTCCCATTTCAGAAAGCATTTATAATATGTTTGTAGGTAATATTATACCCACACTTAACCAAATTTTAGCTGAATTAAAATCTAAAAATATTATTAATGCTGTAAATCAACTTTAAGAAAATTTTTACTATCCAATGGTTTTAAGTATAAAATAATCAATAAATGACATAATATAATGGAAAGTGCCCGTTTAATAAAATGGCGTAATGAAAATTTAGAAAAGATAACCGAGTACAGAAATATCGGAAAAAAATGTATTACTTAGATGAAACGTGGTTTGACACTAAGCAAACCATTGGCAAAGGTTGGAGTAACGACAATGTAAAGTGCAAAGTTAATGTGCCAGCTTCCAGGGCCAAACGAATATGCATTTTACATTGTATACGGGAAGATGGTTGGGTAACCGATGGCTTACTATTAAGTGCAAAAGACATTAAAGACAGTTGTTTGGACTATCATCAAGATATTACGGATGAACTTTTCGAATCGAGGTTTAAAAATAACTTATTACCAAATTTAGCAGACAACAGTATTATTATTTTAGATAATGCATCATACCATCCTAGACAACTTAAAAAAATTCCGAATAAATACTCTAGAAAGGATGAATTGCAAGATTTTTTATTATCAAAAGATTTATATTTTGAAGATTGGTACACTAAAGACCAATTAGCAGAGGTACTTAATACAAAATTATTTGTAAAGGAATATATTATTGATGATGCAGCAAGTAAAAATGGACATACAACTTTAAGGCTACCACCATATTTCTGCGTTTTAAATCCAAATCCAATAGAGTTGTTATGGTCTCAACTGAAATATAATGTAAGACAAAAAAATGTAAGTCCAAAATGTTATAACACTGTCGTAAAACTAATAGATTCTGAATTTAAAATATCTCTGAGGATAACTGGAAGAAAGCAATAAAGCACGTAAAAAATATCGAAAAATAATATCTTAAAAACATTCCTGTTCTAAATCAAATTGTTATCAATGTGGAGAACAGTGATTCAGAGGAAGAAAGTAACGAACTGTAATACCAAGACAACTTTCTCGCAATAACTGAGCTTACCCGAATATTTTCTTACATAATCAGGTGTAGGGGTTATTGACATATGTTCAACACCAAACTACTGCTTAAATTTTTTAAGAAAAACGTGGTCTTATTATGAAAACTTCACTTACTGTTGCAATATTTTGCAACATTGTTGCAATTTAAATATATATTTTTTATCTTTCACTATGTACCGTTCGCTCTATTATTAATTAGTTTTTTTTTTATACAAACCAATTATTGTTTGAACATTTTATAGAAAATGCATTGAAGAAATATGATTAAAGTAATTTAAACTTACACAAAATCATCAAGACATAAAATTAAGCTTTGTTTATAACAATACAAATTTATAGAACCAATTTCTTATAAAATATACCATATTATGTTTCATGTAGGTCGGTACTATCCTGTTCTTCACCGTTCATAGTGCTGCTTATCGCATTTTTCTCAAATAAATATAATCGGGCTATAACTGGAGTTTCAAACACATACTTAAAAATGTCTACTAACAATATAGCTGAATCATGATTCCTTACACTTTGTTAAATATATTTCTAAGAATGATTGAGCAACTAAAATATTTCTATATATCGTCAGTATACTGCGAAAACCAGGTAAATGTCGGAATACCAAAATCGAGAAAAAACGTTTTTAAAGTTTAGTTTTTTATTGTGAATTAAGCAGCCAGCTTGATTTTGATATTAGGTATTCTAGTGAAAGATGCATATATCTGAAATGATATTCTATCATTAGTTTGAAAAAGCTGAGACACCTATCTGATTTATTCTAAATGTATGTTGGAAATGTTTTCACTTGCCTGGTTTTACCTGTAAATCTAAATAAATGAGTTACTCCTCAAATAGCACATTTAACACAAATTTAAAAAACCAAGTATAATATTTTCCAGTTTTGTGATAGAGATGTGAGGCTAGAGATATTGCTAGGTAATAGCAATGTTTTAAGGTATTAGTCGATATTTATGACATTTAACTGATTTTCCCTGAAAATTTTATTAACAGCTGTTTGTAGTTATAGTTATTATTTATATGAATGATAGGCAGTTTTATAGAAAAAAACAAATTTATTTTAAATATAATAATAACAATATTTATTATTATGAGGCTTCCTCGTCCGATTCGTCAGTGATTGCAGGCTCTGGTTAGATGTGTGTTACATCATTTCCCGTTTCATCACATCCGGTATCACTCCTTTAGCACACAGGTGTACTAGACCTCTCTTTTTTTCTATGCAAATTGGCAAATGTGCATTATAACGTTACTTAAGTTCTTCAAGAATGCTTGTATTAGTTGATAACTTGGCGTGCTTTTTTCTTGTTGGCTGCTGTGCAGTATCAGTGAGGAAATAATTGAAGCTTGTTGACATGTCATAATTAAAATAGATTCTGTTTGTCTCTCCTTTTGTGGATTGTTTTTATCTTCAACCATATTATTTTTTTGTCGTTTTGGTCTTTTGTTTGGTTCTTAATTAAAATGTGTGACAAATTTTTTTAAATCATTAAACATAGTATTTAAATTCTTTACATTTGTATAGTTCCATACATACTTTTTTATCACCAACCTTGATATTTTTAGTTCCTCTTGCATTTTGAAAAACAGACAAATAATCTGACATCCCATATATAGATCTGTGTTTTGTAGCGGTTTCGATACTACTATGCATAGAGTCAACTTCCATATAGGATGGTCCAGACTCTAAAAATTTGTGTTCAATAATATTTAAATGGTCTATGTTTTGAACAGCCCATTAACTTTGTTGTTGTTGTTGTTACATTTTTATTATACCTAAATTTTTGTCCCAATATCTACGATTTGACCTTTGACGAATATAATGTGGGCCCATGGTTGGAAAAGACTCATTATGAGCCTTCACGATTTTTCAGGTTTCATTGCTTGTTTTATTTGGCGGTGTAGGCTTTCCTCTTTCATCTGTATCTGCATAACAACCTAGAATATCAGTTTTTTTATTTTGAAAGAAAAGTAACACTTTTTGGAAAATGCATGTGGTTTTTATAGCCTTTGACAAACTGCAATGACTCTGTTGGGTGGCTCCGTTTTATTATGTGCAATAAGAAAATTTTTACTGGCCTATATATTCTAACTTCCAATAAGCACGACATAGTCTTTGTCTGTAGTCTTCGCTGAAATAACTGGCACATTTGTAAAAGCACTCTGAACAATTAAGAGGTTGTGGCAATATTGCTGGTTGTTTCTTTTTTTATCTCATAAGGCAAATCCTCAGCATGCCTTCTTTTTGCAACATTTATTACCCAATCTTTGAAGTTAGCTTTTCTCCAACATTTTAGTGGATGTATGTCTTTCCATACTTTGTCAAGAAGTAGATTTAATATCCAACTAGATATTTCAGTTGACACTAAATTGTTCCTCGGTGTACCTATTTCAGTATTTTCTTTCTCATCATTTAGGCTATCAAGGTCAGTCATTTGAAATTCATATAGCTTCCTAGAAATAGTGATACCTTTTCACTTGGTTGATATGTGGAGTCTATAACTGAAAAGTCACTATCAAAAATGGATTCCAACATTGAGATTATATTGTTATGAGAATCATCAAGAATTGAAGTGCTGTCTTCAGTTTCAAAGGAATATAAAGAACACAAGATATTATACAACAAGTAACTAATTAATACCTATTAACAAAGTATTATAAAACTTTCTTCATAGTCACAAATATAGAAGACAAGCAATTTTATTTAATAGTCTGCTTAATTTTAGCATAATCTTATATTATTAGCATAATTTATTAGCAGATAAATTATATCATAAACACCAATAAGATCACTTATGATTTTAGCTTAGTAACATTTCTAAAACAACCCGTTTTCAGGTAGAATGAAGTAAGTGTACTTAAAGTTTTTACTAATCAATATGAAAGAGAAATTTTAATAAATCATACGAGTGAAATTTATTACAGACACTTATCACCTTTTTACTGAGTATGGTATGCAGTAGTAAAAATATATTGTTGTCCAGCATAATAATATATGTGGGCTTACTTTGTTTTACATGCAACAGAACTTTAGTTTTATGGAAGTAAGTAGCAATATATTGTTTTATTTGAAAATTAAAAGTTGATTAGGTGTAACTTATTTGTTTATTACACAAATTATCTGCTGAATGGTAAGTAGTATCATTTATTGGGTTTTGCCTGTACGCAGAGTGGAAAAAGCTGAGAATTTTGGTATACTAACTCAATATTTTAAATTTTGTCAGTTACCTGGTTTTCACAGTATACCGACGATATGTAATAGACTTCTAAGCCAGAATATTTTTGATTAAATATAATACACATTTATACTTTTATCAGATTCTTGATAAATCACATTATTTTTTGATTACTACTTGTTTTAGGAGTTTCCATACAGTACATAAATATTAAAAAGGAGCATCATAAGTATAATAAACATTTCCCTGTAGATTTCTAATTTTAGGTTATGATTAAAAAGAAAGTTTAAAAGGGTTATAACAAGTGTTCCTATGCGTCTAGTAAAACTAGAAAAATGGGAACTCCAATCCTAACCTAATCCCAAATTTGTTTATTTAGTTTCCATTTTCTGTTAACTACAAGGCTACATATTTAAACACTACTACACTTTACAGTTGTATTACCAATTGTAAAAATTATTATATCTGCCTGATTGAATAAATCTTTATTATTATTTAAATAGGTAAATCTAATATGCCAAAATACTTAAAATTACTTAAACTTTACCACATTTGTGTGGTCTGACAGTCACTTTGCATGTTCTGAAAGTTTAATTTCATATTTTAGCGAACATGTATCTCTTGTGTTTCTCTCTAACCCTCGAGCAGTCACTAGGCAGCATTTGGGGAGGGTATCATAGCTTTGTCAACACATGCAATTATACACTAGTACACCTATTTTTAACACAATTCTTCAATATATTTTTTTAATGATCTCAAGAGTGGAAATCAAAACATCAAATTTTGAGTTAAAAATGGAATTTTCATTACAATCAATTGTGGCTTAATCCCATAAAAACACAATTTTTAACTGAGAATTAGAAAGTTGATGAAATTTGTGATAAGTAATTGTGTAAACAAGTAAGGTAATATAGAATACTTAAAGTTTGTACTTACTATTTCATTTGAATCCAACTGGCATTCAATATATTTTACTTTATCAAGATCTAGAACATCTTGTGGGCTTGGGAGAGCTACAGTGGGATGTATAGATGCATCCGTAGTTTCATTGTTGACTAAAACAAAAACAACCCATTAATCTGATTTTGTAGGACCTTTCAAACCTAAAATTTATATCAATGGATTCTGCTTAGGTGATTAATATACAATGTATTTAAACACATAAGTATTAAAAAATAAGAATTTTGAATGAAATACCTAACACCATACCATTCACGAGAATATTATATTTCCAACAAAAGGTTCAGTCAAATGTTTGGTATACATGAAATAGAATACTTACTGCTTTCTTCCTCAACAGATTCTACTTCTTCTGCAGAAGAATCTTCTGTAGACGAGTCTTCTGTATCATCATACTTGCTTGATTGATTTTGGTCACTTAATTTTTCAAGGAGATTGCCCATTTTATTGTCCATATGATATTATCATAAATATAACAGATAATCCCTAGTTAAACCAAATTCACAAGTCAACAATAAACAGTACGCGATCTTGTCCTTTGTTTCCAAATTCTGGACGACATCAACGGGGAAGTCCCTATGATGATAACTTTGTTTTAAGTTTAGGAATTATTCTTTAAAATATTACAATGTTTAAAATAAAAAGTCTAATAATATTTTGAAATCAAAATTACTTAAAATAATTTACCAACCAAGATTAATTGGGAGTATAAATCCTAATTTATCTTCTACATTCCAAATATTAATATATCTATTATTAAATCTATTTATAAAAAATATCTTCTCTCTTCTCATTTGGCAATTGACGTATTTCAAAAATGTATGTTTTTAACCATACCACCACATACCTCATAAATGATAATTCTGTTTTAAATCTTTAAAATCACACCTACAACAAATAAAAGAAAAAATGGACATTTAAATATCTGATAAGATCTCTGGAACGGCAAATAATTAGAAATAGAATAAATAGAAATATATTTTAAATAATGTATTTGAAGACACTTGCCAAATAGCCAAATTGAAAAGTCAATTTTTCTTCTTCTGATTTTATGAATTTGACATACATAAATTTGAAGGCATTTGACCGTGCATTCGTGCAATTTCCGGTAAAGATAAAACATTTGATGATTCAATTAAAATATAGGTAAATTACAAAGTGAGTACCAAATTTTAACCATCTTTAGTTGATAAAATGGCTACCGGATCGAAAAAGCGTATTATGGTAGAAACTAAAAATTTGTCAAAGGATCCTCCTCCCGGCATCAGTGCAACACCTGATGAATCCAACTGCAGGTATTTTCATGTAGTAATGGCAGGCCCTTCTGGATCACCTTATGAAGGTGGATTATTTAAATTGGAATTATTCTTACCTGAGAATTATCCAATGTCTCCTCCAAATGTTAGGTTTTTGACAAAAATCTATCACCCTAATATAGATAAATTAGGAAGAATCTGTTTAGATATTTTAAAGGACCAGTGGTCACCCGCTCTTCAGGTTAGAACAGTGCTCTTATCTGTTCAAGCATTACTCAGCAGCCCAAACCCGGATGATCCTCTAGCAA